AAACCGAAAGAAATGATCGATAAAGTCTCTGCAAAGGTATTCATTGAATTCTTTGAGTATTCATGCGTTGCGTGTTTTTCTCAGCTAACCGGTAATTTATTGGAATATTTCATGGTGGAATTTTGTTTTTGCTTACCTGATTCCATATTTGTTTGTAATCACAGGGACGAAAGATGGTAACTATAATTGATCCTCATATCAGGAAAGACGACGGTTATCATGTTTTCGATGAAGCCCGAAAAAGTGGTTATTTTATCAAGGTGAGAGATCTTGACATTGTTATTATTGTTACTGTTATTATTATGTTATTGTTGTCATTATTATTATTATTGTTATTATTATTAATATTATTATTTATTATTATTTATTCAGATGTTCTGATTGGAGCTGTATTTGTACTTGCAGTTATCTAGCCTGGCTGTCATGTTCCATTGTATTGAAAGTATTTTCTTTGCGTTTTTCTTTTTATTTAAATTTCTTTTTTTTTTTTCAGAAAAGAGACGGAGAAGATTATGAGGGGCACTGTTGGCCGGGTGCATCAATGTATCTGGATTTCCTGAATCCGGAAGTTCGTGACTTCTGGGCAAGTAAATTTGCATTCGACCAGTATGCTGGCTCAACGGAAGATCTGTTCACATGGAACGATATGAACGAGCCGTCGGTATTCAGTGGACCGGAAGTGACCATGCACAAAGATGCGAAACATTTCGGTGATTGGGAGCATCGCGATGTGCACAATATCTATGGCTTTTATCATGTTAGTCAAAGCTTATTGAGGCCAACAAGATTGTTGGATATCGAAGGTGCGAGTGTTCCTTGGGGAGACTTTGCACAGTGCAGTATGAGCGTACAACGCTGTCCCTCCTTTTTTTTTTTTTAATTTTTTACCGAGTGATATCACATAGTTTTTTTTTTGTATTTGAGGTAAGAATTTTAAAATAACAGAACAAAATGGCAATGAGTTTTTTTGAAATGGCCGCTTCTGAAAGTGTCATTTTTGCAGCATTCTGCGAGCTATCGTGGTCTACTTGCCCGTACGAACGAACGTAGGCGACCATTCATATTGACGCGATCATTTTTTGTTGGCAGTCAACGTACAGCAGCTGTCTGGACCGGTGATAATACAGCAAGTTGGGAGCACCTGAAAATCACCGTACCAATGCTGCTTTCGTTGTCTGTTGCTGGTATACCACACGTTGGTGCCGATATTGGCGGCTATTTCGGCAATCCGGATGAGCAGCTTTTG